CAATTCCAACGCTTCAATACAGACGATGTCACGGGGCACGAGACAGGGTTGCCCCCTGTCCCCCCTCCTCTTCGCTTTAGCAGTGGAACCGCTCGCGCACCTCATTAGGGAGGATCCAGCCGTGCATGGCATTTCTGTAAAGGATTATACAACGAAAGTTAGCCTATATGCCGACGACATGATTTTGTTTGTTTCAAGGCCGATAGATTCGTTACGACATATTGAGCGGCATTTGACAAATTTTGGCCTAATCTCTGGCCTACGAATTAATGAAAGGAAATCACTATTGTATCCTATCCAAATGGCTACGGAAACCACGGCGCACCTTAAGGCACATTTTAAGTTTGCTTGGGTGACGACCTCGTTCAGATATCTTGGCATACAAATTCCGCTAGACTTAAAAGATCTCCTCCAACATAATCATATGAGTGTTTCCACAGATATCACCTCTCTCTTTAAGAAATGGAATGACCAACACTTCACCTTATTAGAACGTATTAAATTGGTTAAAGTAATGATTTTACCAAAAATTATTTTTTATGTACGAGCCCTCCCAATAGCACTTCCGACCACCCTTATTCGGAAGTGGCAAAAAGATATTAATTCCTTCGTTTGGAGCTTTAAAAAGCCAAGAACAAACGTCGTTACTGCTACACTGCCTCTTATCGAAGGGGGACTGGCCATTCCTAACATACAACTGTATCATGACTCCATTATTTTAGCAAATTTGGTTAAACAATACAGATCTTCCTATAGGGCAGACTGGAAAATAATTGAAGAAAATTCTTTTCCCACTCACTCTTTTCACGAACTCCTATGGAATTACAAGTCACGGAACAAACACATCACCCCTTCAAACATTTTTATTAGGCCTACTTTAAGGACTTGGAATAAATTTATCCACTTTTTAACACCATTTCTCTCGCCTCTAACGAATTTTACCGGGCAAAAATGGTTTCAGCCGGCCCGAGACTCGAACTCTTTTACGTTATGGCGTCAACTACACCTCACAAGATTTATCGATGTTACCTCACAAGGATCTCTTAAACCCAAATTGGCCTTAGAAGCTTCACATTCCACGAAACTGCCGTGGTTTGAATATCTACAATTGAATGACTTACTAAACTCCTCAACCTGTAACAAACTACGTCTAAAACTTACAGAGTTTGAAAAAATCTTATTTAACTCATCTTACCCGATAAAAGGTCTTATTTCGAGAATTTATTTGATTTTGGTTAACCTCAAGAGATCAGGACTTCTAAAATACCAGATTGCGTGGCATCAGGATTTAGGACAGTCTTTGGAGGAAGATCAATGGAAAGAGATTTGGGAGTCCCCTCTATACTCCTCCCCTTGTTTAAATATCAAAATGTTAGCTATCAAGATAGTCACCAGATGGTATAAAACTCCAGTCCAAATCTCACACGCCAACCCTTCAGCTACACCTTATTGTTGGAAGGGCTGTGGCCTTAGAGGCAATTACTTTCACTTATGGTGGTCTTGTCCAATTGTTGCAAAATTTTGGATTCAGATTCTTAATTTAGTAAACGCCATAATCAATAACAAAATTCCTTTGGTGTCAAAAATTATTCTTTTAAATATTTGGGAGGATTTCCACCCAAATCCCTCAAAACATGAACGAGAGCTTTCTGCCATTTTATTTTCAGCGGCTAAATCATTATTGGCAGCTAAGTGGAAATCTACAGAAGTCCCTACGATACTCGAATGGTTGTATAAGTCTTGGGACTTTTTTGTTTTTGATAAAATTTCGGTTGAAGTTAATTCTGGTAACGTGATGAAACGAAGATTGAATTTTGAGAAAAAATGGGCTCCCTTTGCTGAATTTTTTTTTAAACACACGGATTTCGCTAAAATTAATATTCTGGATAAGTCAGTTCTTCGTACTTTTGTAATTGGTTGATTTCAGATTTGTTCTTCTTCTGACATGTTCAATTTAATATGCATTCTGTTTTTCTTTATGAAGCTTTGTACCCGCAGTTAGATTTGTTCACATGTGATACTGTATAGTTACAGCTATTTGTTACTGCTGCTTCTTTTTTTGTGTACTATGTAAGCCTGTTGAAGTTTATCAATAAAAGCTTTAAAAAAAAAAAAAAGTCCACTCAATGCACCAGTAGTACTTCAGGTGAGCAGGATCCTCTGTTCCTGATTCTACTCACCTGAAGTACTATTGGTGTATTGAATGGACTTTTGCATTTGCGATTTACATTTGAATCCTTGGTTTCCCTGTTTGCACAATTTATTTATATGAATCTCAAGATTTGCATTGAGATTGTTCTATGTGTTTGTTATTGCTGAGTATGTAAATAATTTGTGAGCATTATAGTTAGTGTGTCTGAGTATTTTTTGGAGGTTTCATTATACAAGTTTTTCCTTTTTTTTTGTATTCACTTCATCTGTGTATCTCGCTTTTGTTGTGAGGTGGTACAACCACACAGAAATTGGAAACACAGCGAATGCAGTTGTGCAAACAACCAGAATAATCTGTCATGCTGTACAAATCATACTAGAGACTTCTGTCTTCTTATACAGTTCTACTTACAACCATAAATGATACAAATAACAAATGGTTTTGCCATCATGCATAAATGACAGCTGCACCCATTGAATAGCGACCTAATGGTCCTTGAAAGTACAAGTCTCCCTTCAGGCTGATGTGGTCACCGGCATTGTTCCCTCTAAGCTGAGTTAGTGTGAGCTAGCTCACAGTTTTTTAGCCTCCGGCTCACACATTTTTGTCTTAGCTCAGGAAGGAATGGCTCCAGAGCAAACTAATTTATGCAGCAGCCAAATTGCTCGCTCACAACTTTAATGCCAGGAGTTCACAAAGTAGGATTTTTGCTCACAAGACTCCACAGCTTAGAGGGAACATTGGTCACCGGCTCATGGTGCAGAGAAGAGTTTCCAGAAGAAAACATGTGGTAGACTGTATGAGCTCAGGACCAGCTGTAGTGCAAACCAAATGAGCGGCGACGGCACACCTAGGTTGCTTTGCCGTTTCTTAGGGCTTCATCAGGCCACTTTTCTTAGTGATGGAGCTCAACCCAGCTCTGGCAAGATTCAAAATGACATGAAGTCTACAAGTATGTTCCGAATAGCTAGGATTCCTAGCAGTGCCGCTCCTTTGGTTTGGAATCTAAATAGAGTCAGGTGGGCAGCTATATGCACACCAAAGCTTAAACCCAGATTTGAACTTTGTTGGTTTTACAGGTGCCACTGGACTCAAACTTTGTTTTAAATATCTAAGTTATCCACACTTTATTTTCGGTTAAATACACCTTTGTTGTTCATCTCCATCTCTGTCTTGTCTGCAGGGGGCATTTCATAAAAAAACAGCGGCAGGAGCTCATTAGCATATCTAATAGGCCATTAGCATAATAGCTCATTAGCATATACCACGCCCCCTGACATCACCAGAAGTGATCTCACAAGGGGAAGCAAAAGGGGGGGAGGCATCTGTCGCGCAGTGCATGTGGTAGTGAGAACCAGCACCTTAGAACAATTAGCACTCACCAGCAGTCTTCCACTCACCAGGTACTCCCAATAGTAAACCACACAGTTCAGTCCAGTGGTAACTATTTACAGGAAGTTTATCTACAGTATATACAGCTCTCGGACAAAGTGCTTCGCCAGCATCCATATAACACACAAGAACACTATACAGAGATACATTTCCACATATATACTTATGTCAGCCAATCAGCACAGTGCTGACTCACTGTGACACTGTCTTTGCCCAGACATGTCCAAACAGGCTAGATCTGGTTTGCAGCTTCTGTCAGCTGTCAGTTAGATCATGAAGATCTTAATGCTGAAGATTATACACCGACAGCATCTTCAGAAGCCTCCACTTTCCTTCCCCAGCCAGCCTGCCAACTCTCTCTGGAGTTGTGCCACAGTGGCGGTGGGATCTTTCCACTGTATTCTATGGCCCCATTGCGCCGCTGCTGCAGTGCGACTTTGAGGTAACTCATCCAGAGAAAGGGGGATCAAACTTCCCTTACTTGACAGCTGATTTCACTGCATGTATCGAAGCCATCCACACATACCGTTTCCGTATTAAACACTTTTGTTTTCTGTTAAATAAACCTCCGTTGTTGATCTCCATCTGTGTCTTGTCTGTCAAGTCAAGTATCTAAGAAAAGGTGATCTCTATTTACCTCACGAATTAATACAGCCTTGGTCTAGCAGGTTTTCAAATTAAAAAACTTTTAGGGAGCTCATAGCTTACACGCTACCAGTCTCAAAGCTTGTGTTCTCCCTTTGTCATTTGATTGTGTGCGGTTGGGGTCTCAAAGAACCTACGGAAGAGGCCTAGGGGCCTCATCCCAACCCACCACAGATGGAAAAGAGCAAGGAGCTATTTGGGGCACTGAAGCTCCCTCTCCATACTGTTGTGGATATTTTTCTGCCTTCTGAGATTACACCACACTTTCATGAATATCTTCACAATCATAAGGATCGCGAACTTGATTTAAAAAACAAAACAAAACTATTTGCTGAGATTCTCAGGAGGTGATCGTCCCCTACTGCCGTGTTTTGTGCATTTTCTGCACGTAAGAAAACATTGCCTAGATAAGATGGAAACAAAACAGCAAGGAACCTTTAATCATTCCTATCTCAGGGTTGTTTTTTCCCCAATGCCTGATTGTATGCCAAGCAGTGTTCCCTCTAAGCTGAGTTAGTGTGAGCTAGCACACTGTTTTTTAGCCTCCGGCTCACACATTTTTGTCTTCGCTCAGGAAGGTCGGCTCCAGCACAGACTAATTTATGCAGCAGCCAAATCGCTCACTCACAACTTTAATGCCAGTAGCTCACAAAGTAGAATTTTGGTCACAAGACTTCACAGCTTAGAGGGAGCATTGATGCCAAGTGTGGAATTTTGCATCTTTGTGTCTGGAATTCTGCGATGTCTGAGAACAATCTTAATGTCCACAATGCCATCTTCCCCCCCCCCTCTTCCTCTCCATTGAATATAGTGATAAATTATGAGGTCGTTGTAGTTACCGGTGACGTGCGGAATGCGGGCTCCAATGCCAATGTCTTCATGCAGATGTACGGGGAGCTCGGGAAAACGGAAGTGCTGATCCTGCAGAACAGGTCAAACAACTACGAGAGGGGAGCAACAGAACTCTTCAAGGTACACTCTTTGGGAGAAGGGTTTTTACAGCAGCTTCTGGGGCTCGCTTTCCCCTTCCCTACCAACCCTCTGCAACTGGATCTTTGCAAGACATTGGCCCCGTTCATACGAGCCCATTTGGGCCGGGAGCGGGACGGAACTGGGGCGGAGCAAACAGGCGCGATCTCACCTCAACATCTGGCGAGCGTGCCGTCTCCGTCCCTGATCCGTCCGAAACTGCCCATACTGCGCCGCAAACAACAACCACCTCTCTAGGTGGTT